ATTTTTAGTTTCTGTAAGTGCGTCAAACTAAAGGTAAGAACTGGAGGAAGTTGTCTTACATCCTAGGTTTCAAAATAAAAGCCCCAGAAACGGTTAAAGGCAGAAACCGCACCAACCAAGACAGTTACGGGGTTAAAAACGGTGTGTTTGCCAACAGTAACTGAAGCAACAGAGGAAATAAAGCTTGAGACGATTCAGAAAGAAGACAAAAGTCCTGCTGAGACGAGTCTTTCCTGTGGTCAGCAGTGGGAAATATAACGTTTTACTGAATGCTAACTGTTGGGGGTTCTTTATATGAAGCTGGTGTTGATTTTTTAAAGATAAAACAAGCAGAAAAGAAGCCAAAATGAACAAAACAGGAGTTAAAACTAGCAAAACTGTAGCAAACAGCTGAGCGTACCAAAATAAAATCTAGCTAAGGCCATAGCTAAAAGCTAAAAATAACATTTAAAGGCTACAACCAGCACAACGGCAAAATGTAGCAAAATCATGGCTAAAAACAAAAAACTGCGAAAACGTCTGAAAAAAACGACTGCTAATTTCAGATAATATTTTTGAAGGAAATGAATAAATCTAAATGTTTGTTATTTGGACTGCGTGTTGGCAAGAATTTGGTGATACAATACTGGGAGGATACATTGCAATGCTGTAAACAAGTCAATGCATCGCTCTTGTTTTCTCCAAATGACTCTAATTTAAAAAAAAGACCTCAGTTAACGAGCACACCGTGCATTTCATGCATAAAATCTGATTAAACTCAGTTTATTTTTATGCAGTGTCAGAAAATGAGTATGTATGTCAATATTTAAAAAAACAAAATGAAAAAAATTCAATAATTCAAAACTCAACAGTTAAAATTTATATCAAACTATACTCATAAAAGCCAAAGAAGAAAGGGAATCAGCTGAAAACTGTTAACTGGTCATTTTTTCCCYCTGTGTTTCCTCACAAACCAAACCTAAAGTGTTTTTTTGTTTTCAACATGAATCTTTATCTGCTTTACGTTGCAAGACAAACTCTGTGGTGTGAAAGGTGCAGGTTTTCAGCGGTGAGGACAAAACGTGCCTTTCAGACGACTCCTCCTGATTGGACAGGAGATAAATCTGGACGTGTTTGTGGGCTGAAACTGGGGGCACCTCCATAACTCAGCCTGTCGGACCACTCACTGAATAAGCGACTGTCTCATTGGCCGACAGTCTGGCTGACGGGGCGGGGTGGCAGGTGATTACAAGGACACCATTGGGTTTTTATAGCAGAATAATATGGCCACTGTTCATTCTGTCCGGGCTCTGACGTCCCGCGGGGGATCCCGGCGGGCCGACTGGGGGGTGATTAAGGTTTTTAGGGAGCTGCTTGTCTGCTTCAGGGGTTAGAGGGTTAAAGAGTGGGGATTCAGTAGGACCATAAATTAAACCCAGATGTCTTCCCGWCGTATTCCTCCTTCCTCTACACCCCTTCATTTAAAATCACTTTGTTTTGTATCCATTTCCTCTCAACACATTTTATAGATACTTATCGAAGTCAGAGCCTGGCTGTGAAAAGGCTCAGACAGCGAGGCCTTTCAGGTCACTAATCTTTGTGTTTGTGAACATGTCAGCTCCACAGTGGACCCACTGTGCTCAGGTCTGTCCAGAAAAGACCCCGGCACCTCCACATTCACAACAGGGGCAGTCAGTCAGGACTGAGCATCTTTGGCTGTAGATTAAATGTCTGAACAACTTTAATATTTTTAAACTGTCACCAAGATCATCGATTCCACACCTCCCTCACGTTTTTCAACATGCATCGAGTTCTGCAATTTTTGTGCTTTTTCAGCAATTTATAAATCAAAATGTTCTGCTTCTTTAAAGACATTCAGCTATGAGTTTTGGTATTTCAGCAATTTATATTTTTAGAGATATTTAGCTTTTTCAGCCCTTTTTTTCTTATTGAAAATGAACAAATCTGCCTCAAAATCCTTAAAGGGATCTATAATTAGTTGTAACATTAGACTTTATTTAAAAACATTCATTTTAAATGTAAAATAAAGACTGTAAAAATACTGTAGGATGTTTTGTTTTTATAATTTTTTAACTAAAAGTTTAAAAATATATTTTAACACGGACGAAGCCATTTTATTTGCACACAAAGCATTCTGGGTAAATGATGACGTGGATAGGTCCTCGGTGCGAGGCTGCTAGCGAGCTATATCCNCAAATATCTCAACAACTGTTCATCTCAGCGACGTGAAATTTATTTTACAATATTTTATCAATGTCCTCTTTATAAAAATGTGTTTATATGCTGCCTTTCATTTTATTTGGATTGTTTTGTTGTATGTAATGAGTTTTTTTTAAACAAAATAAATAAATAAATAACACAAATTTGACATCACAGGCACTTTAAGTCATCTCACGATGAGAAATATGAACGTCATCATTGTGATCTAACATAGACCGTCTGATCCAGGGCAGTCTGAAAGCCTGGCTCAGTTCAGTCCTGAGTCTTTGGACCAGATCCCAGACCCTGAGCCCTGGTTCTGATTTCCTGTCAGGACCTCGTCAGTCCCAGCAGATCATCCATCRTCTGAAAGGGACACATCTGAAAGACTGAGACTGGGTTTTTGGACTTCATACGTTGAATTTAAAGTTTTATCTTATCTTAAATAAATTTGGAAACATCTCAGTAACTACAGCTTTTCTGCAGGACTAAAATCAGTTTGAGGGTGGATCTGATCCCAGATCCCAGACCAGTCCAGATGTTCTGGATTACTGGATTTAATCTACAGAGGTTCCTCCTCCCAGCTTCAGGACTGCTTCTTGTTCCAAACCTTTAGTTTTATTAGAATTTATCCACATGTTCATGATGGAGACATGTAGGCGGAGCTAATGACATCATCACCCTCTTTTTATGGCAGCAGGTGTTAATTGTAAAAACATAAAATCATAACAAACATCAGGTTATTTTCTAAAATAAACACAGATAAATAATAAATGCTGTGTTTTTATTGTCTTTATTCTGACGATCATCTGTTTGGTGTTGAAGGTTCTGCCTCCGGTTCCAAAGCGAGGGATCCCTCTGGGGTTCTCTCTGAGTGGATCTTTACCCGACACGACATCTTATCCAGGAGAAACCCAGACCAGGTCCAACACCCCACAGAGACCCCCAACAGGCCCAAAGCCCGCCCCCAGCACAGACTCCTTTAACCCGTCAGACTCTAGAAGTCCTGATGTGAGTCAGGCGGAGAGCCGGAGCCAGTCCCTGCCTTACCTCGGCAGCAGCACCAGTGACGAGGACGACCACTGCAACCAGTTAGGTGTCCTCTTCATCACACCCTCCTCTTCACCAAAGAGGGTCACCTGCCAGACCTACTCCATCCACGCTCCCCCCGAGGCTCTGACAAGCTCCAGGCCAGAGCAGCCGAGCGAYGAGCTGGAAGGTGAAGATGTGAGGACCAACCCGCTGTACCAGTCCTCTGAAGCCCCCAGGGGGGGTCCAGCACAGCAGGGGGACAGGATGTACTCTGAAGTTCCCCAGGATCCGCCCAGGCCGACCGATGACACGTACGAGCTGATCCCTGGAGAGGTGTCCCCGGTCCAGAACAACACGTACGAGTCTGTGGACGACATGAAGGCCAAGAAGCCTAAAAGCACCTGGGGCAAAAGTGTAAGAAAAACCATGAAGGTGTTCCTGCTCCTCACTGAGCTGCAGCCCAGACCACATTTATTATTATTATTATTATTTATTACTGTTATTATTATCATACCAAGAAAATTTTTTATTTCATCAGTGCTGTCAGACAGTCGTGCAGTCACAACTTATGCACGGCTGTATTCTTGGCTGCGCACATTATTTTGTCGCCACCTCAGATCTGAACCTATGTTGTATTTTTAACAAGTTTTATTGTGTAAAAACTGAGTCAGAATCGACATTTTTATTTTTTATCAGTTATAATCAGTGGCAGCTGG